AAAAAACAACTCGGCATTGTTTCATATCTGCATTTCATATACAAGAAAACAGAGTTAGACTTCTCCTTTATGTTGCAAAGGTTTCATGCATCCCATCGGCCTGGCTAATAAAAAATCCTCATTCTTTGGAAAAAAAAACATTCCTCCTACAGATTGCATGAATACTTTGTGTCCACCAGATAATATTTTGGAACTATTATGTATCTCTTTCCTTCTCTGTTCTCTCTCAAGTGCATGAAGTATGTCAAAACTAGCCCCTAGGAAATGTCAGAGAACAAAATTTCCATACTTCATGCTACAGATCTACTTGAGTCTTAAGAATTCTAGTGAAATAGTGGGCTATTCTCAATGTAAAAGGCTTTAATCATGTCTGACATTAAAGTAGTATATTAACTATTGAGTAAAATTATATTTAAAAACCTGACATATGTAAACAATTTATGAGAATTTGATAATAACAACAAGAAAAAGCTGACAAAAGCCACAGGTGATAATATAAATCTTGCTATATATACTACTATGATTTGGTCTTCCTCTGGACCCGAAAGTAGGTACATATGAAGACTTCTCTCATTATGATTGTAGTGTAGAGAATAGAAGTAAAAACATAATTGTGCATCATTATAGCAACACACACATAAATGAGTAACAGACATGAGCTATAATAAATAAATCAAAAGTAATGAACTAGACTCACACAGGGACAAAAGTTTGTTGAATGAAATTGCATGGTACACAAGCATATTTTTAATAGAATGTCTTCAATTTAAGAATCATGTAAATTCATAAAAATAATTTTATAACATTCATCTAAGGAAAGGCATACCCAATTTTTCATCACTTGTATATATTATACAAATATTAGTATATCTCATGTAATGAACTCCAGTGCAATAACAGTTTGGGACTTCAGCGATATATTTTCATTGATGGACACATCATCCATACAGAATACTGACAAATCAAAATCAGAGTTAAACCATATACAATAGATAAAATGGCGCTAACACATATACATAATGTTTCATTAAAAAATTGATTAATCCACATCATTCTCATCAGCCCATGGAATAATCTCCAAGATATACCATATGGTAGGCCATAAGTAATGCAAAAATATATTTTAATAATTGAAATCATATTTAATATCTTCTCCAATTACAATACCAAAAACTAGGAGTTGACAAGAAGAACAGTGAAAAATTAAAAAAACAAGTAAAATTTATGCAACATTCTTCTAAACAGCAAACAGGACATTGAAGAAATTAAGAGAAATTAAAACACAAATGAAAATTAAAACAGTATGTCAAAACTTGTGTGACAGCAGCAATAGCAGTACTAAAAGAAAAATTTATAGGGAAAAATGAAAATAAAAAAAGAAAAAGACTTTGAATAAACAACATAATAATGCACCTCAATGATTTTTAAATCATTGAGAAGCAAGAAAAAAAATCAAACACAAAATGTATAGATTAGAAATATTAAAGTTTAGAACAGTATTGTTTTCTGTCATATGTGAAGCTTGAAGGAGAAAAACAAAGATGGGGACGTCATGTTATTAAAGTAGATGGTGGACCATTATGGTAGAGGAAGAAGATCAGGAGAAGGAGGAAGTGACACTGGAGGAAGTATTAGGGAGTGAATTTGATCACATTATGTTTTTATGAATA